CCGCGCGGTCTTGATCGCCTGCGGCCGGAGAACCGCGAGCTGCCTGAGAGGAGACCACGCTTTGCCGGCACTTTCCTCTGCCTCGTCTGTGACTGTTTTCATTCGTTTTAAGCCAGAAGAGGCGTCTCACCAGCATGATGTTGGATATCTTGGTTTTTTTGTGATTGCTATTTCTTTTCCGGCCGGCTGCCTTTCTTTCTTTTTCTTTCTTTTCCCTTTTCTTTCCTCTTTCTCTCTTTTTTCTTTCTTTTCTTTTCCTTTCTCTCTCCCTTTCTTTTTTTCTTATTTTTCCTCCCCCTACTTTCCTTCATTCTTTCTTTCCATCCTTCTTTCTTTCTTCCTTCTTTTCTTTCCCCTCCTTTTAAAACTTCTTCCTTCTTTTCCACCCTCCCTTCCTCCTTTTCTTTACTTCCTTTTCCCCTTCCTCCTTCTTTCTTTATTTCCTTTCTTTTTCCTGTTTTCTTTTCTTTCTTCCCTCTCTTCCTTCTTTCCCTCCTCTTTCTTAACTCTTCCCTCTTCTGTCTCCTTCTCTTAATTCCTTTTCTCTCCTCTTTTCTCTTTCCATTTTCTCCGACTATCTTCTCTTGTTTCTTCCTTTCTGGTTGTCTCTCCCTCTTTAGCTTTTAGTTGTTCTTGAGAACAGCAACTCCTAACTTTAATTCTGACATCTTCTAAAAGTCTCCCCATCCTCTGTCACCATGGCCCCTTCTAGCCCCTCTGCCATTCTCAGCACCTGGGATGCTAGACAGTGTGGCCTGGAGGAACTGCCCTTGGAGACTGACCTGGGGGAACTTTCCTGGGCACTCTCAGTACCCTTTCTGGGCACTCCCGGTCCCAAGTGAGATATGGCCTTTATTTTTTTCCTGGGCTTCAGCTGGTCTTGGATGAGTGGGAGATCTGGTGGCCCCAGGCTCAATCGGGCCCAGAGAGGGTGGAAGGGGAAGAAGGAAGATGACTAATTACATCATCCTCATCTTCTCTGGGCCACAACACTGCTCTCATCCCCGCTGATTATAAAGATGGGGGTGGCTGGTAGTGAGAGTGAGTTGGGTAACTAGGCTAGAAGCGAAAGTGTGTGTGTGTGTGTGTGTGTTTGTGTGTGTGTGTGTGTGTATGGCGCCTGCGTGTGTGAGCGCTCTTGTGTCGAGTAGGTCTGGCTGTCAGTGGCCGCCCTTCGCCCTTGGCGCCCAAGCCTCCAGCCCCCCGGAAGGCACACTCAGCCGTCAGCCCTTGTCCATAGGATTTCTGGAATGAGTGTGAGGATTTCTGGAGAACAGCGAAACTTAGGACAGGTCTTTAAAAAAAAATCCCCAGGTCCCTTTCCCACAGCGACTACCCGTGACAGGTCTGAGTTCCACCCTCAGATTCTTTTTCTCCACATGCTTTACTTGGGAGTACATGCGGCTTCCCGAGGCCGGGCACCCACGGCTGGCTGTTGTGGGTGGCACATGAGGTTTCCTGAAGTGTGGCTGCTGCAGAGAGGAGCTGAGCATATTCCTCATCCATTCTCAGCTGCCTATGGGAGATTCGAGGGGGTGGTGGGAACCAACTCCCATACCCTCCTGCAAGTTGTAAACGACTAGCTTTATTCGGCTACCGCGGGTCTACCTCAACCACCCGTACTTTTCTTTATCCCCATGCAACGCGCCTCAGGTGGGAGTAAATGCTTACAGTGTTTTATCTTTTGCGCAAAACCCAGACAAACTTTCACACCTCTTTGGCAAGTTCTGGGGCGCAATGGTCCTCGGAGGGGAGGACGGGACAGGCGAAGGCACGCATGTCCGGTCGCCTGTTGGGCCCGAGGCACCTGAGGGGGCGTTTAGGGCGCCCATGGGCGTTTTGGGGGCAGAGAAGGTGGATGTTTGAAGGTTCACGCGTGTGTAAGGGGGGACAAGGGGTCGCGGGTAGTTGCCCCGCTTAGCCGTCTAACTCTGCGTCTTTGGCCGCAGCGGGGTGGGTCTGGCCCGGGCTCACTTTGAGAAGCAGCCGCCTTCCAATCTGCGGAAATCCAACTTCTTCCACTTCGTCCTGGCCCTCTACGACAGACAGGGCCAGCCCGTGGAGATCGAGAGGACAGCATTTGTGGGGTTCGTGGAGAAGGAAAAAGTAAGTGGGCGCAGCGCCGCTGCCCCCCGCCCCCGGCTGGGGAGCAGGCCCAGGCGCTTCGGGAGGCACGCTCCTCCGCGAGTGCAAAGCATCCATAACACACTCGTGCGCGGGGTCCCCCTAGCCAACGTCCCGTTCTGAGCGAACCCGGGCTCTTCATCCATGAGGTTCTGCTCCAAAAAAGTTCGCGCGGAGTCCCCAGAGCTGGAGGGAGGCGAGCCCGGCTTCGCACTCCGGAGGCAAGGGCGACCGAGATGAACGCGCCCTCGACCGCGCGAGCACGCGCGGCTCCTGCCTCTGCTGGCCCAGGCTCGAGCCCCCGGGCCCTTGGAAGGGTATCGCCCGTGAGCGTCCCACAGAATTTTCTGTAAGGTTAGAGGGAGCAGTAAGTGTCGGGGGGACGGCAGAGGGATCACAGTTGCAGGCAATTTCTGCTGCTCCCGGCTCTGTCCGGCTCCCCGGCCAGAGGTCCCTGCTTGGGGAAAGTTGCCTCGAAGTCGGTCTACTAGCTCACGCCGACCTCTCTCCTGCATCTCTTGTTGTGTCTTTGCGTCCCGGTGCAACGCAGGAAGCCAACAGCGAAAAGACCAATAACGGGATTCACTACCGGCTGCAGCTCCTCTACAGCAATGGTGAGGCTCCCACCTGGTCCGCGCCGGCACCTCGGGGCCCCGGGGGCGGGGAGGGGGCGCGAGGAGCTTCAGGTGGGCGAGAGCCCCGAGCGAAAGCTCAGCCGTCCGCCATCTTCGGGGTAAACCCGCCTCACCTGAGTTTCGCCTCAAGAGGTTTCACCTGAGGAGGTTCTGAGCGGCCCGAGGGCGCCTGCGCCCGCCGGCGCGTACCTGGGGGTCAGGTGTGGCGTCCTGGCCCCCGCTGGGCTGTTCGCTTTCTCCTCCCCTTCCTGGGGCAGGTTTCCTTGGCTTAGCGTAGACTTCATGTCCAAAGTCCCCTGGGTTCCGGGGGCTTGAGAGGTCACGGCCTGGGTGGCTCCCAGAGAGCACGCAGAGGGGCTCCGCCTGGGAAAAGGAGAGTAGCCAGGTGGGGGTCCATCTTATTCCCAGCTGCCGTGCTTGGGGGCTGGCTTCCAAATGCGCTCCGGCTAGGCCAGAGGCGCTTCTCTGGACCCTGGGGAAGCGGGGGTCCTGGCTGTGCGTCTCCAGGGCGGTTGGAGTTCCATCAGCCTTGAAGCCCCGCTGTTTGTTTGTTCGTTTGTTTGTTTCGTGCGGATCTTCTCTCACTTAATTCTCTTTCGCCCCCCTCCCCCACCCTCTCCTCCAGGAATAAGGACGGAGCAGGATTTCTACGTGCGCCTCATTGACTCCATGACAAAACAAGTAAGTTTCTTAATTTCGCGCCGTGGGGGTGACTCTAGGGCGGCGAAACTTGGGAGAGTCAAGAAGCTGGCTACTCCGCAGCAGGAGGGCTGGGACTCGAACCCTCAGTACCCGCGCGTCTCGCGGACGGCGCTCTTAGCGCTGCCTTCCAAACGCTCTTACGCGCTTCGGCTTGCCGCGTGGAGACGATAGCTCGACGCTCCTTCCCTACCCGGGAAATTGAGACCTTGTGAATGAACGACTGTGGGGTACTGAGTGGGGAGAATATGGGCTGAACTTCCTTTGACCCGGCCGGGAACTCCCAGGGGGCGAAAAAGGTGCCCAGGGACCTTGGTGCAGAGTGGGATGAACTTGTAGAAACTCAAACCATCAGGGCCTCCCTCGGGAGGGAGAGGGTAGAGGGAGCGGATGAGGGGCAGAGGCAGCTTCCCCAGGAATGGTGAGATGGACCGAGAGCGCAGGTTATCCACTCCATTTTTTTTTTTTAAGAGGTGGTCGTGGTGGTAGTGTTGGAAGAGGGAGCGACAATTGTTAGAGGATATTTTGCAAAAGTCCTCCTGCTTTTGCCTCTGAGTTTGGCAGGAAGCCAGGCAGCATGAGTGAGCCTGTGGTCTTAAAGGTATATCGACGGCATTTTTCTTAAGTTCCCCAACACACGGGTGCCAGGCAGTATACATTAAGGCTGAGTTATGGTTTAAAAGATACAATTATGAGCCGAGTCAGAAAAGAGGTCTGACGTTTTAACGAGGCACAGGAATGTTTTTTTTTCTTCTTAATTTTAAGAAAAAGTTTAGTTTCGGAATTAAGTATCTGGTTAGGTTTTTGGAAGACTTAACAAAAAAGAAGACAGCTTTATTGGGTGGGGGAAAAAATCAGAACAAAGAAAAGTTATCCTTGTCTACTAACCACCAATTTAGTAAGAAGGTTAAAGCTCATTTGCTTGATTGTGATTTTTAAATATTCCCTTTAAAGTAAAGAAGATAATCTTCATAGATGCTGACTTGGAAGGTTTCAAATTAGGGTATGCATACAAACTTAAAAATTATTTTTAGATAAGCCATGACTTAAATATGTTGTACCAAATGCACATTAATAAGCTATTGGGAGTTTTAGAATCTGCTTAACAAGAGCCAATTTAGTAACAGCTAATTTTAATTATTACTTTCACATGTTATTGTGAACCAACTAGAAAACATGAGGGTATGAAATGTGTTTTTAAAATGGTAAATAAGTATCTACTGAAATTTATTTCAAGTTATTAGCCCAAAATACTTGGCTGTTTTGAAAATCTGTTTATTTTAGTCAGTTGTTCAGAGTAAATCCACGTTTATACTTTTAGTCTTATTATTTATTACTATTCTGATTTTTGTCATTACATGAGATAGTTTCTTTTCATTTGGACAGATTGTATTTTATTAAAACTTTTTTCCCCTGCCAATCAGAAAAACAAAATAGACTGATTTCAGTAAATTAAAAAAAATAGTGTCAAAACAAAAATGTCTCAAGTGGAGTTTTGTTTTAAAAAATTGTCTTCGGTACCTCAGATAACTTTTCCTGTCATTCTTACCATAGGAAAGAAAAGATAAGAGGGGAGATGGAAAGTATGAATTCTAGCACATACTCCTTATGGATTTATTAGAATTCCTTTTTGAAAGATAAAAGCCCCACAAACCAGTAAATAAGACCTGTCTGCTTGTGAAGCTTTGGTCACTTAGATATTAAATTATAAGCAGCTCTACGATGTGGACAATTGTAAGGAGCACAAACGTAGGACATGTTTAAAGTGTTAACTTCTCTTTAAGCTTGATTTTAGGCCCCTAGATAGTGCCCATGAATTGACTGTCCCATTATGAAGTGAACTGACTTTACACTCTCTTCTATCAGTGGACGAATAATCTTGATATTTATCAAGTAGTACATCAAAAATCATTTTACTAATGAGGCCATCAAGCTTAAGAAAAACTACAGTTTAAGGCATTCTTTGACTGCTTGGTATCCTAAATTCTATCAGCCATAGGGATGGGGGTGAGACCAGAACAATATATAGTTTAGTCATAGCAAGTGTGATAAAGTCATCTGCCATCTGGCTGAAAGTTAAATTTATAAATGGATGCAATTATATATTTTGATGGGGAGTGACCTGAAAAAAGTTTTAAATAATTACCTGAAGGTGGTCTAAAAATAGGAGGAAAAAAAAGCTTTTTTGAGGCATACCTGTTTGCTTTCATAGGAGTTGTCTGATGCCTCCTCTGTAGCTTTTACTTTGAAAGGCAATCCCTGCCCATTATCCGGTTGCTTGTTCCTTGATTATGTGCTGTAAGAGTTTGGGAAGTAGGTTAGCTTCTTGTGTACACAGCTAATACAATAGTCTTCAAAAAGCAGATCAGCGTGAAGAAGCATAACCGTCCTTGGCTGTGACATATTATGTTTTAGCCTTGATGAGTAAAACAATGGATTCTCATCTAGCTTGAAATTATTCTATGCTAATTAAATACCAAGTCTGAGTTTAAATTTCTTCATTTTTTGACTTCAGTTAAGTAGGCAGTGACCCCTTCCATCAAAAGTAAGCCTTGATAAAAGCTGGCTGATTAAATGGTTACTCCCCTCTCCCCAGTAACACCCCCCCCCATGAAATTCTTTCAGATAGACTCAGGATTTTGATATTTATAGAGTGCAGAATGGAATAATTTCAGTGATGTGATGAGTTCTAATAACATCATAAAACTTGGAGGGGTTATCTAGACACAGTTGAAGTTTCTTCTCTTAGCTGCTTATTTATCATAACATTTTCCATCTCAGAGATGCAACTTTATGTGTGTGATGTCACGCCTTTGACTCACAAGTTGGGGTTAAAACTGGAAGGGAATCTTTGGCAAGCAAAATTCAAAAATAGTTATGCGCCTTTATATTTTCATAGAATGTTCCTGATCTTGGGTGGAGTTAGCACCATTGAGATCAAACAGAAATGTACTCAATCAACCAAGATGTATTGGTATGACACAGTATTTCACACCTTTTCAAAGTGTCTCATTACACTATTTTGGGTGGTGACTCTTAATTTTGGATGCTACCAGGAAAGCGGAAGCTTTATTAGAAGTGAATGTGTAAGGATTTAAGCCTTCTTAGTCCTCTGGTTCTCTTATAAAACAAAAAGGATATAATGATATTTAAAAAATTTGTCCGCCAACTAGAAAATAAGAGGCTTGCTTTTGGGAAGGGTTGTTCAAAACCAAGTTTAGCTGGACTAAAAATAGGTTGTTTTTGTGTCATTGCTGTTTTTGGTATTCCATTAGTGAGCATGCAGAAAGGCCTGAAGGATCTAGAAGTTTATGGCTGTCGAATGCAGAGACCCGAATGAACCCAGTAGGGGAGGTCTGAGGTTTAATGGGGCTCATTTCAGATTTTCATGTAGTATTTGAAATATGATTATGTTCTGTGATTGCTTCAGTGAGTTAGCTTTAGTGTTTTTTTTTTAAAGCCTTTAACTTACCTCTCCTCCTACCATCTTCCTTTGAAAAGAGTGACATTTTTATCACTTAAAGAAAGAGTAACAAATTCCACAAAGTTATCAGAAACAAAACACTCCCTGCCTCCAAACAAAAGCTTTTATTTTTTTTTAAGGGGGAAAAATGGCCACGTAATCTTTATATGTATCGATTTGAAGGTAGGTGATATGGTGAGGGGTCCTTTAAAAAGTCCCTGCACAGTGGAAAATCTAAGGCACAATAATCAGAAATGCTGTCATATTTCTCTTTCCAGCTAATCTTTATATGTTTGTTTTGATGTTCCCGGTACTTTAAGTTATTGATGCAAGTGCATTTTTTCCTATTGATTGTTTCATTATATCCTGCCACAGCTACGTAGATTTGATTAATAACCCTTTCAGTTCATGGTTCTTCATTGGTGGATAAACACATTTTTAGTGTATCGATAAGTTCCAAAGAAATTCAGCTAGGCCAGCAGAGACGTCCTTCCATGTATCTGGAGAAACAAACAAAAAAGAACAGGGCAAGTTTATAGTTAGGAGCCATATTTCAGCAGCGCTCTCTCTTCTTTGGTAACATGTCAAAAATGCAGGTGATTTAAATTTCCTTGCACATAGAGGAATGAAGAAGTTTGGAATTTTTATGCATGATCAGGACCTGTGTTTGGGAAAATGTAAACTCATCACAGTGGAAAATGTGTTGTTTGGAGTCTGGGGGTGAAAACAAAGCTGATGGTTTTGGAGAGATTGCCGGAGCCAGATGGCCCAGTGCTTCCCCAGTCTGGCGGTCCAACTGCTCCCTCCTGGATAATATACAGCCATTTGTTCGGGGATATTTACGCTAGAGCTGTTTCCATGCGAATGTTTGAACAGCATTAAAAACGAACATATTAGTCGTGATGCGTTTGTCGAATTTGTATGACTGCACGGATAGTCTATTTTCGTGTCTCATGCTGCTGAGAGGAAAGGAGGAGTGTTTGGATGCTGGTGAATTGTTTATACAGTTGTTGAGCAACAATGATTTGGTCTTAGTGAGTAATTAAAATATGTAAGCATTTGGAAACTAACGCAAGTGGTGGTAGCACCTACCTGGAAGCTCTGTTGTGAAAATTCAACGAGTTCATACACGTGAGAGTGCTTAGAACAGTGGCTGGTGCATATTAAGTGCTTAATAAATTAGCTGCTTTTATTATTTTATTATTATTATTGCCTCGCTGTGTTGACAAAACCAGTTGTATCTACTAACACAGATAGTAAATGCAGCTGTCATATGATTGAAGTATCTTTTATTATTGCCAGAAAAAGTAATATATAGTATGGTATTGTTAGAATGATCCTGTTTTTATCTTGGTGTTTGGATAGCATGAGGGATTCTATTTCTCTGAGACAGGAAAGATGCATTCTAAAGCTAACTGCTTTTGGGACACACTCTTTTTATTCAAGGCTGTGATGTAACTGAACATGGTATCATTCCTTTGCAACTTTCCGAATTCAGTCCTGAAAACCGGCCTGCTTA